GACGCATTCTCTATTCCGCAGTCTTTTTCCGCACCGTGTGATTTCACCCTAAGGATCTTGCGTTAGTTCCGTCTAATGCGTCGTCTACAATACACGGAGTGAGAAGTAAGAATAAGAAATTGACCAATCACAATCCAATATGAGAAGAACAATTGACTGTGATTGGTCAATTTCTTACTCGTACTTCTTACTCCGTGTATTGTAGACGACGCATAAGGCTATCACATGTACAAAAATTTTAGTCGTAATCGTAAGCTCGCAAGCAAATCGACCAATCACAATCAAAATTACGATCTCGCGTTTTAAAACGCTCGATTGTGATTGGCCGATTTGCTTGCGAGCTTACGATTACGACTAAAATTTTTGTACGTGTGATGGAACCTTTACATCATGGCTTCTCTCATATGCTTTCGTTGCGGTCGTCATAGCAACGACGCAATGGAATATTTTGACGTTGACGTTCGACCACGTTTGACCAATTTCAACAATTGTCAAATAACGTGACGTCGAATTGCTGTATATGAAGAATCGCTCAAACCAATTTACAACAATAATAATCCAAGCATGAGTGCAATCTTTAATGGGAGTGATAGTAATGAAAACATTATTATTTTTGATATATCAAAAAATGAAAGAAAATTAAATGATGAGTTTAAAGTACTTCAACGAAAATTGAAAGGAAAGTGGAAATTTATCGAGTAAGTTAAAATTTGTATTGAATAATCATCAACATTATTTATTAGTTGTATTGATCATTAATATTCTTATTAAGTTGAAAAACTTATGTCCAGTGAATGTATTTCAGGAACAATGAAGTAATATCGCAAGAATCATTGACAAACGCCAAAATTCTTGTGTTACCAGGACCGCTAAGTAAATTTACCGAACTTGAAATGAATTCCATCAGAACTTTTTTAAATTCTGGTGGCAATATTCTTGTCACGCTTGAAGAGGGTGGTGAAAATAAATCCAATACAAACATTAATTTTTTGCTGGAAGAATTTGGTATAATGGTGAATAATGGTATATAAAATATTTAGATAAAATAATTCTCTTTTTCTCTCTCTATTAAACTCTTTCTTGATAAATAAAAATTTACATTTTAATATTTATATTTGCAGATAGTGTAGCCCGCATGAGTTACAGTCAAACAATGCATCCTAAAGAATCTCTAATCTCCCAAGGCTTATCAAATAAATCTATATTTCTGAAGAATCATGACGAATACATGTAAGACAATCTTAAAATATTCCTCTTATAGTAACTCCAATTATTGATAAATAATTATTTTAGTGATATGAAATTTTTGTACCCTTACGGTGCAACATTAAACGTGGTGCAACCATCTGTTGTTGCTTTATCCAGTGGATCAATCACTATTCCAATGAATAGGCCAATCTGCGCATATCATTGTGTAAAAAACAGTAATGGCAAGCTCATTGTATTAGGTTCGTCTAAAATGTTGACAGATACTTACATAGAAAAAGAGAATAATGATGCATTACGGGAAATGATTTTTGACTTTTTTGAAGTAAATATTACAGAAAAGGAAGATTTTCATACGGATGATATAGAAGTAAGTTATTTATTATTCATTACAGATAGTACACTTTTTTTATTAAATATATATATAATACAAATATAGCACAAAGATTAAGATTTCTTAACCAAATTTTCTCTACAAAAGAGAATTGACAAACTATATCTTTATGTACAACAATCTTTATGTAGTTTTGGGAATACAACTTTGTACCAGACATAACGCAACAGGCTGACAATCCAAAAGTTTGCACATCAGATTTAGACAATATTGATATACCTCGCGAATACACTAAATTATTTAAAAATCATTTTTATTCTATAAATTTAAATATGATACCAGCGTGCATAAAAGCGTATGAAGCTTTAGGAGTAAAACATGAACCACTTACTTTGATTCCACCTCATTTTGAAGCACCTCTACCTCCCACACAAGCTTCGGTGAGCATAATATCTAATTTCTATATCTCATGAATTTATATTCTATTTTATGATCATGCACTTTGTATAAATTTCGAAATAATTCTACAGGTATTTCCTCCAAGCTTTCAAGAATTACCGCCACCTGCTTTAGAGTTGTTTGATCTAGATGAAGCATTCAGTTCTGATTTATTAAAATTATCACAAATTACTAATAAATATATGGCAACGAAAGAGCTATCAAATGACAAGGAATTAGATCACTATATCAGAGAATTTGGAAGTATAATAAGGATAAACAATTCAGACACACACACTGCTAAAGAAGTATTAAGTTTTGTTTTTCAAAAAATCTGCAGTTATAAGACAATGCATGATTGAAATTTTTGTATTAAAAAAATGTAATTTATGGTAAATAATTGATTGTATCATATTAATTGATTAAAGTTTAATAAATGAAGAAAACTGCGTTTATTTTCAACTTCCCTCTTTCACAATTTAACATCTATCGGTAATGCAGAATTCTGGGATTTTAATTACGTTCTAACATCGAGAGACAGCGGCGGTATGGCAGACATTGGCAGAAACACAACCAATCGTAATCGTTGCCTCTGTTACTTAAAAAATATTTCACCGAAAATTATAATTTAAAGAGACATGGCTGCTTAGTCTACAATAATAAGTGTTTATATTTTAAAAAAGATTTCTGGCTTTTATGCAATTAATAAGCCATTACGAAGATGTCTGTGTTTTTCGTAAATACGTAAGTAAACGAATTTCCATGATTTTTAGGTTATACATTATTGCATTCTCGATACACTAAAATTATAAATATATGTATGTAAAAGGGAGAATTTTCCGTATCTGCGGAATAACTGTTTTATTTTTCAAATAGTTATTTAAGTATTTCATAATACAGTTTACTGTATTTTGTTTGCATACTTATCGCAATTAGAAGTTTTATATCATAGAATAACAGGAATAAGTTGCACATTTTATTGCAAAAATATTTAATATGTATGAATATTATTTTAAAGATTTCGTTGAGCATCCTCTATATTCTACGAAATCTTTATTGAGGCTTTTAGATTTAGTACAAAAGATTTAATGTTATTTTTCTTAAATTTTTTATCATAGAAATTCATAATATATTTATTTATAATTATAGTATTAACATAAGATACATATAATATATAATTGAAATTTTCTGCAGAGTGTTTAATTATACATGTTTAATAAAATCAAATATAAATTTGAAACTTATCAGCGACACATTCTTCCAGATACTTCCAGAAAGAAAGAAATTTTATTCAGCTGCATTGGTTTATAACTAACTGCTAATTTATGACTATATCTGCTGCTTTCTACACTCTGACCCCCTTCTGTCATTAAAACTAGTTCTTTGTACATATATATATTAAGAATTTTTATGTATTTAAATGAGAAACACTAGTCTAATCAACAGACCATGTTTTTAAAATGATTTTTAAGTATTTATTTAATGTAAAAATATCAAATAAATATTAAAAAAGTATTTTTTAAATGTTTTTTGTATGCTGATTGGGATATTAAATTGATATCTATAATAAAAGTTTCCATAAATTTAATAATAATGTTCATAATAAATAAATAGGGAATAAAACAAAAGATTTTTGTTTTCACAATATAGAATAATAAAAATAATATTTTCTATATTAATAGAAATCAAGATAGCGAAGTGGAAGGCGACTCAAATGGTGACTTACAGATTGCTTCACCAGGCAGTTCCGAGGCTCAACAAGCATTGACTCATTTCTGGCCAAAAGTTATGGAGGAGATAAAAAACATCACAACTGTTAGTAAGACCAGTCAGGAAAAATTTATATTAAATACTTTTTTAGTATTTAAATAAACATTCTTGTTATACAGATGGATCTTAAAACGCAATCTTTACCATTGGCAAGGATAAAAAAAATCATGAAACTAGATGGAGACGTAAAAATGATAAGTGCAGAAGCACCTATGCTTTTTGCCAAAGCAGCAGAGATCTTTATACATGAACTAACTCTCAGAGCTTGGGTGCACACAGAAGATAATAAAAGGCGAACTCTTCAACGAAACGACATTGCAATGGCGGTTACAAAATATGATCAGTTTGATTTTCTTATAGATATAGTACCCAGAGATGAAATAAAACAAAGTAAGGCACAGAATGAGGCCACTGTGCGTACATCTATGAACTCGGATCAAGTTCATTATTACTTCCAATTGGCGCAACAACAAGCTTCGGCGAATCAAGGTGTACAGAATAGTGGCACTGCCACGCAACCTATACAAATTGTTCAACCTTCTAGCGGGCAAATCCAGACCATAAATATTGGCAGTCCGGTAGAACAAGTATATATTTTTAACTAATTAAAAAAAAAGAATCATATACATAATTAATCATTAAATTTCATCAATTTTAGGAGAGCACCAACACTACTACAGCCCAAACGGTTACAGTACAAAGCCCACAGCAATCATCAAATCAACAAATTATTCAACTGCAACAACAGCAACAGACGTCTACCACACAGGGCGGAGGAATACAAATCGTACAACAGATTGTCACTCCTAGCGGCGAAATTCAACAAATACCTGTAAATATAAAAAATTTCTTTATAAAATCATCAATTTATGTATCTGTTTAATTGTGTGTCACTTTCGATCTTCTTTTTCTCTTTTAGATTCAATTGACTCCCCAGCAATTGCAGATGATTCGCATGCAAGTGCAAGGCGGAAGTAATCAACCGATTATAATACAAACCGCTCCAATTCAGACACAACCACAATTAATACAAGTTGCACAGGGCTCTCAAGCTCCAGTTTTTTTACAAGCCTCCAATGCTGATACCGAATAATATTAATTATAACTTTCATATTAATTATAACTTTCATATTAATTATAACTTTTTTAGCTATATTTAATAAACAACATAGTACAATAAGAAAAAGATATTGCTAGATTGTATTATCATTTTACAATTCAAATTACTTGATAAATTAATCAATTTCCAATGTTAAAAATAAACATTTTTTTTATTTACGAGCAACTTGAAATAAAAAGAAAGAAATGATCGTTTCACCATTGAAATTATCAGGCAATTAATTAATGTCTAGGATAATGTTTTTTATTGTGCTTCTTTTCTATTCAAATTTCCAATGTATTAACATTTATAAGATTAATGATTGTCATACAATATGTAATAAATATATCTTCATTATAACTGTCTTACTTATACGTTATATACTGTCTTACTTCTTTATTTGCTGTTTTCTAATAAAATGTACAGTGTACTGATATTGTTAATAACAAAGAGAAAACCGAATTTTCCATACTCAAAACGAATTTTAATACTTTTATTTGTTAGAGATTCTCACTTATTTTGTGCAGTTTCCCGTGTTACATGCTTTTTAAATATTTTATAGAAAGTTATCTGAAAATTCTTTCTTAAGAGATATCTCTGTTGATCGTAATCGTGCATCCGAGTGTTGTTATAAGCTGATCGAAGAGTTGGTCACTGAAGCGAAATGAGGTGAATCGAGGCGATGTAAGGTGAAGAATAAAGATAAGCAGCCAACGCAAGATGTAATCTGATTCGTACGTCGCGTTCCTTAGCCGCTGGCTGCCTGCTTCGCATGGCTGAGCTTAGGACTGGCTGGTGCAACTTGTATTATGTTTCACGTTGCTGCGGTTCTTGTCTGGCGAGTCTTGACGCTCAGAATCTCTACAATAGCCTCCAAATGTCACGTAACTGCACGTATTCTTATTAAATCGTTAATATGCGCATTAATATTACGCTATCAACCTTAATGTAAATAAAAAATAATTAATTATTCATTTATCGTGGAATATGTATCAAATCGGAACTTGTATCATTATTATTGATTAACAATAATAATGACAAAAATGAAAAAACGAATGCTATATAAATAATTAAAATTTGTCTCTGGTAGATTAACAAAATTCTTGAAATTAAAAGAATAATTATAAATATTTAATTTTAACATAATAATTGTATTCTCTTTTTATCTAATTTTAATTCATCTTCGAGGAATGAAACGCGAATGAAGTATAATGTATATATATATATATGTATGTATATCAAGAAGAAGATAAAATGAGAGCGCTACCTAAAAAGAGACGTTGCTGGCCGATATTTGCCGATGTATTAAAACTTGATCGATCGGAATACCAATTCGCTGGGAAACCTTCGAATATATATACAGGGTGCCGAAAAGGAAACACAACCATATAAAGTTTATTATACTCTTGCGAAATTTTTCACCTACATAAAATAAATTTTGTTAGTATAAAGATTTCGTCAGATGCGCTAACTTTTTATGTCTTGTTACTTTTCAATATTAAATTTAACATTATAAATAAGTATTAAATTCTGTTTGAATCTACACGAAATTAAGTGAAAATAACAAATACTTGTTTATATTTATCTCATATATCTCTTATGGAAAAATATTGAATTAGTGAACAAATTAAAAAACTAACAATTGGAAATAATTAGAAAATCGAATCTATGGAAATATTGTATTCTATTCGTTTTAATAGTTTTTTTTACTAATCTAATATTTTTTCCACAATAGAAAACATTTTCCACTACGAAAAATATTTTCAACTCTGCAATTATATTCACGATTACTATTTTTCATCTCATATTTGATTAATTGGCAATTTTTAATTTTGGTAGATACAATTTTTTCATAGTTTTTTATAGTTCTCGAACGATTATAACATATATAGTTAGGCGCATATCTTGATAAATTAGATAATAAACTAGAATCATTACTAATAAGTATTTAGGGTACAATAAAAGATAATATCCATCTATCCATACAGACGTGACCTATAATAACCCGTCTTTTTTTTGTTTTATTAGCACGGAACAAATGAAAGCTGTGCATTAATTGTATTTACTGACATTGTTACTGCGATCCTAGTTATCAGAGAAACCACGATCGAGCATATTGCGATGTTACATCCAGCGAAAATCTTAATCGGTCATAAAAACCATACAATATAATTCAGGCATAATAAGTATACGACGAATATAATTCTGCGCTGCGAAAAGAAATAGAAAATGAAAAGGAAAAAATAGGCAGTTCTCGCGATCGCGAGAAATTCCTTATTGCCGCCACAAACAAGCGTGGAGGTGATTTTCGCGCGTCTGAAAGCATTTAAAATTTGTGTAATTCGTCAGAATTACACTGGAGCTCCTGACGATCGCTCGATTTTAATTTCTCGCTGTGCCTGCCCGATAGATTCTTTCCACCCCGCGATCTACGCCACTGCCTAAATACTCGGATTTCACGACATGTTTACAAAGATCCTAGAGATAAGTTGAGAATGGCCGCCGCAGCCCCATGCCTCCTCCATGGGTGTAAGGTGACAGCTGCCTGCGCCTGCGTTGCATGCACATACACACACGTGGAGTGTTCTTAGTAAAAGAAAAGATATGGAAACCGAGTGACAAACATAAAACGAATTAATTATTTAAATTCGCAAGCGTGTGTGTGTGTGTGTGTGTCGTCCAATATCCAAACATCTTTCTCCAAGAGCTATCAATAAACAATGCAACGTTCTGTCTCATTGTAATTCATTTTCACGTTTCTGTTACTAAACCTTGTTAACAAAATATATGGATAAGATAATTATTTTTAGATTGTCCTTTGAAAAATAGAATTTTTTCAATCTCACTAGTAAAGTTCTGGTTTTTTTCGATCGATCGTAAACAATGGTGATCAATATGTATGCTTTTGTTTTCGGTACCTGAAACTGAATCGAAATGATAGAACACCCTGTATAACGAAGGGAGAACGCACATTATACCTACTCACACCAATATCTTCGTCGCATATACCTACATCTCTATATCTTCCACATCACAATGACAAAACGCAGAGAGAGAGAGAGAGAAAGAATCTCGCTTACTTATCTTCATTTATCTTTGGCTCAAAACTCACTCATAGGATCGCCGCAAATGAATATCCATTTTTACAGGATATATGTATATCGCGTACTTCAAGTAGTACGCATCGTGTATTCTTATTGTGGAAGAAATGCGCGTTGGCTTCTAAAATTTATCGAAATTATATTTACATTAACATATGTATATATCATCACATCAATCTTCTTCAGATGTTCGTCGGTATATCAATACTTATGTCCATTAACTCTTTGCGATCCTTTATTGACATGATGATTCATACATAATTCTCGCGAAAGTATCTGGAGTATTTGAAGCATTGATTGTGAACTTATTATATTATGAAAACTTTCTTAAATGTCCCAGACAGTAAACATTCATCGTTATATCTTTCATAATATTGATACAATAACAAAAAATAAAATATTTATTGATGATATTTTAAATATCGAAATTAATTTTGACTATAAATTAAGACAGAACCTCTTTTTCTCCTCCTTTTAAGATAATATCAACCAACACAAACCAAAACAAGTTAATTTTTTCAACTACCGTTTGTAGAGAAAGCGAGGAATAATTTTTTATTAATTCTAAATTTTTTCCTAAAATTAAGAATATAGTTCAGGTAAAGATAGATGAAATTGAGCGAGAAAAAAAATTCATTAAATAAGTAAAAATTTAAATAGCACTAGTAATTGGCTCGTTGCCCTTCTTTTATTTATTAATTTATTCTAATTGAGCCATATTAACATTTATTTATTTTATATACGCGGGCGAGATAATGCGTTACAATAATTTCCACTGTTCATTTTCGTTTATTAGAACTCATTTTGGTTTAGAGGCATGCGAATTTATTAAGAAATATTGTAATTTAATTAAACTAAATGTAAAGATTAGAGTACGTATTAAATTTTTGAAATCATGTATTAAATACAATTTAGTACCTCCGCATCTATACCGATTTATTAGGATGAACAATCTTTCTTTTTACAATGGATATTCTTACAATAGATTAAAGATAAGACTAATGAACAATGTAAAAGCCATCTTACGTTTGGAATTAAAGGATGCACATTGCCATTTACAATTGGCTCGTTGCCCTTCTTTTATTTATTGATTTATTCTAATTGAGCCATATTAACATTTATTTATTAAATAGCACTCCTGGAAAAGAACCGCATCCTACAAGTAAAAATTATATAAACGTTATCGCTGCATATACATGTATGTATATATAATGTTAATAATAACGCACGTACTTCGGGCCAATTTTCGCAAACTCCACGACATCGTATACGTCTCTTCGTACCAGTACTTTTCCTGAAGTGTTCGTACCCAAGCACCTGGGTGGTCGTATATCTATGAATACCATTAATATATTGAAGAACAATACAAGCCGCCCGCATACCTCGAAAGACTGGACTGAATTGTCTTTTTTTCTCTCTCTCTCTCTCTCTCGCTCTTTCTCTCGCAATTTGTGAAGCTTCTACTTCATTATATCATAAAGGTATCGTACCATTCCGCCATTTCTTCACTAACTATGCGATCGTGGCCAGCCCCTCCACACGCCATATTTGCCTCCAGTACACGTCTTTTTTTATATATTATCCGTCGCCTTTACTTCGAGTGACTCCTGCGAAACATCCGTCGAATCGATATTTCTTTCACGAAAGCGGTATCGCATTTATCTCGAGAAATACGACGATACGACGATACGAGAGTCGCAACCTTCTTCGAGAGGATACTGAAAATTTGATTCGTATAAGAAGCTGATAGTGTCGAAGATGGTAGATTCGTAACACGTACAGAGTTTCGTATTCAGCGGATGCTATTTTCAAACTGTTAAAATTTCGAAAAGAGACGTAGTTGAGTTACATACATGTTTAAAAGAAGATACTAGCATCGGATGTACAAACAGTATTTTATTTTATGTTTTTAGTTAATTTGAGCTAAATGTTTGTCTTTTACGTACGTAGCCAAATGTA